TTTAGTATTCTTGGTAAATGTGTTGACAGATGCAATGCATCTTCAGATCCTAACTCAGTATGAGTGGCAACTACTAAGATTCTAATTTACTCTGCAATTTTCCCTACTGTCTGAGAAGAGACTGCACAACATCCTGCACCTGTCTGACATGGACACAATGCAACACTGCATGCGACCTGCTGTACAGGTCATCTGTGAATGATTCAAAACTATCATATGTGACATAACTCAAGCACCTTGGCCTTGGACAATGTTTACAATAAACCAACTAAACAATCCATGACATGCCAATTATTTCCAGCTTCTGTCAAAATCTCATGTTGAACCCACTGTTCAAGTTGACCTATTTCCCCACTTTTAAACCTTCCACGCACTAAACTCATCTTTGGGGCTTATCATACCCACTAGTCTAAACATCCGTAGTGTGTTGTGCCTGTCTACAATACTGATGCATTTACTTCAGTCCTTGAACTTTTTGAAATTATCATGTAAATAATAAGAGTGTAGAAGATACATTTCATGAAAACAGCCTACTTGGGTGCCAAGCATAAAAGGGAAGACATTACAATAAATGAGAAAAATACTGTGTAATGCTGGGAAATAGACTTTTTCAGGGCAGGGTTCAATGGTGTACTTTATGCTTTTATGTAACCATTGTAATACTTCTGAAGATGAAAAAAGCAACTAAAGAATATGCAGTATTCTCAGTGTAGCTTACATTTATTGTACCATTGCCATTAGAAGCCAAGATTTTGTTCTTTGCTGTGAAACAAGCTGCAAACACTTCTTCCTTCAATGACAGAGTGTATGGTTGTGATATATTATCTTCATCAAGCCTGTAACCAGAAAGAAAGTATAATTTATTTACCACTTTCTCTAAATAACTGTACTACTTATAAATGAGAGGAAGACTGGAAATGGTGGATTGGAAAGAAGTGATAATAGTCTGTTTTAAGGTACTATTCCAGCATCTGCCTGGAGAGACTGATGGACCACTGGGGGTGGTGGGGACTCAAGTTAGGAAAGCCGTACCCTCCAAAACTGTGCCAATGAAATATATCCATCACATGATGTCCTTTGGCATGACAAGGAAAACCATTTGAATTTTCTTCCACCAATCTACATTGATCCTTTGAGATGATATGCATGTTGCAAATGACCACATTACTCTCTGCTATGGTGCTGATAACTTGAGCACAGTGTATTTCTGTTTCCTGCTCCTGTCTACATGGCAAACTGGTAACAAAATACGTGTCTAACACATTCCATCCAGGAGTATTTAAATCATTACATCCCCTGTGCTGAAAAGATTTTAGTAAAGTTTAAAAATGTTTTCAGTTTTTACATGAAAGAAAGAAATTTGAACACAAAAATATAAGCATTTGCCAACTGTGTTGCCAAGATGCTTCAGCCTCAAAGAATAACCTGCACTTGTGGTAAGCTGTTAAATATCCAATTTGCTTGGACCACATTTACAAATGCACTCATTCATATAAGCTTCTGGCTCTAAACTCATAATCACTTCATTTGGTAACAGGAAACAGGCATCTTTGTATCTTGACCATGCCCTTAATGAATTAAAACCAAACACACTTTGGAGCAGTTAGTTCAATGTTTGTTTTGAATAACAGAGCCCTGTTTCATCAAGAGGTTATGAATCCTGCTCACCCACTAAAACTACAAGAATGGATCACAGTTCATCAGTTCACGTCAATAAGGGCAGTTATTTTTCTACAAATTTTTAATATTGGGCCAGTACTACTTCCATTACCAGCATGTTGGTGAGACAAACAACATGGTAATACTTCCACAGACAGATAAGAAGTGTTACATGATCTGATCAAGCCAGTGGCTGTACCAGAATGACTAATGTCACAAAAGTGTAGGTACTGGTGATACAGTCCTTCATTTACCATGTGATGTTCTACCTTTTAATGCACGTTACAACAAAGATGTTTAGAAACTGATGTAGTTTGTTTCAATATGTTATTTGATGAGTGAATGAGAGGTGACAATTTTCTATACTTGTCCTTCACATTAAGTTACAAAGCAATCAACTCAACTCTAATTATTGCAGCTAAACAAAAGTTCTTATACATGAACATAAAGCTTGAAATAATACATCTCTGTGTTGCCCTTGGTGGACTAGAGGTTAGCATGCTCTCCACTGGACCCAAGATTTGCGGATTCAAAACCAGCAAGGATGATAAAAATCCATAGCAAACTTCCTTCGGAGGGGAAGTAAAGCTGGTGGTCCTAGTCATAGATTTACAGCATGTAAAAGAACCTTACGAGCATGAACGAGATGTTTCATAAGCAAAATTCAGCGGCAATTTCTCACCCAAGTCTCTCCTGGTTCACTACTAGATGGCTCTAGCAGACAAATCAGGATTGAGTAGAAATGTGCAGAGGCAGTGGGCTTGCCACTCACTACTCATAAATGCACACTTCAAAGACAAGGAAATCTCCCACATGGGAGGAGGCCAAGGCTCAACTTCGGGCTGTTGCACCATAGAAGAAATAATACATCTCTGTGAAGTTCATGACTTGTCAAAGAATGAAACAGGAAGAGAGCATGGATTGACTTTCTCAACATTATTTATCATTCTGAAAAACAAAGACAAAAATAACAATAACAATTTGTTATATGTGTGTTCCAATCATAGTGTTTAGAACCAGCCTGTTAACACAGCATATGTATATAAAAGTTGGTTTAACTGTATTTCTATTTTGTAAGTTCAGTACAATTCAGTGCATTTATTCTTACACATGTATGCAGGCTTAGTAAATTATGGATGGAATGTGAGTAGAACTTGCGGGCATGCATAAATAGTGGCAGAACATTTGCTTATAATGGACAGTTTAAAGAAGTGGTCAGCTCAAGCGCAACCTAAATGGCCATGTTGCCAGGACCATGCGGCAGAAGAAGAATTATAATTACTGTTCCATGCAAGACAGATTTTTTCTGTTACTTTTAAGTTTTTACCTTGAATACTGAAAGGTATGATTATCCACAGAAAGAAAGCTACAAGACAACAATATAAAATCTATTTTCTTTAAAATATTGCTCATTACTTAATCTGATCTAAGAAGCCATGTCACAAATAAAATCAGTGCCATTTTTGTCACTATCAAAACAAGCATCTGAAAACCCAGACTTCAAGAACTGTCTAAAAATGTACAGCAACAGATATGCTAAGAAGTTGACCAAAGCTGTAACGGAACAATACAGATGGCTGGCAATAGTTTTCATTGGTAACGTATGATATATATCTGGCAGAAGGCAGCAAAAAGGTCCACCACTCTTATTCTACAAACATAATCAAATAACAATTACACATAACTTACAAGAATTCCAGATAAAGTTTATTAGGCCTTTCCTTAGCTATCTTCAATGCTTTCTTGTAAACGTGACTATTTCTATGTTCCTGCAATCCACACTGAACAATATCTGTATTTTGGTACTTGTGTAAATCTAAGCCACGTGACTGTACAAACTGTTCAAAGTCTTGTAGCACCGATGTGAGATGTTCATCCTGGAAAGATAACATCTTTATCTATTAAATTTGTTACCAGTTTTTCCCAGCTACCAAATATGACACTATGTCTCATCCAGTTCTTCGATTTGTAACTTAAAATACAAATGAAAAGGGAAACTGACATGCTTTAATTATCCAAGTTCCTCCAATAGTAATACAAGAGCCTAGAGGGTTTACAATAATCCAAGCTGTGCAATAAACAATCATACTGTCATCTATATAGGGATTTTAATGCTGTTATTATAATCATCACTTTCCAATTTACATTTGCATAACTTTATTAAAACATCAAATTAAATACAATCGCAGTGTCAACTGTAAATGATGACAGGCTGAGACATCAGGATGACGTGTGTTGCTTTCCTATTTCCATTAAGGAGTGTGACAACTTCTTATATTTCACTAAAATAATTAACACTTAAAATAAGCATGGTATGCTTCCATGATAAGAGAAAGAATTCAATAAAAATAGCCAAGTGGCTGAGGTAGAGAAATGGTGCTGCGCAGCGGCAAAGATAAGCATGACAGAATGGCTTTAGGTGGCAATAAGAAAACTATACAGACATTTAGACTTAAATCATTGAAGATTTAGTATCAGGGGCTAGAGGAAAAATCCTCTGCCCCCGTCGGGGATCGAACCCCGGTCGTCCAGCCCGTAGCTAGTCACTATACTGACTGAGCTATCCTGGCTCACAAAGATCAAACTATTTCTCCACTTACATCTCCAACAATGAATGCACTGTATTTCCTGTAATCCACTAAAATATGTAGTGGACCTGTAACTTTCAATTTAGCACCAATAAACTCAAGATCCAGGTACAGCTTTGGAAATTCATACCACATCTGAGCTTCTTGCAAATGGTAGCCAATGTAAGAGTAGATGTAGTTGTCATTTGGAAGATTTGAAAAGTTTACACCAGAAATAGATCTGTAAGACTCCAGAAGTTTCTTATGCAGGTCCTAAAATAAGCAAAAACATCATATAATTGCAACATACAATCACATACCCACAAATGCTCAGGTAGAATAGAAGAAATTTAATAAGCAAATTAAAATTATTGTTCTCTGGCCAGAATACATCTGTAATTAATTAGTTTTATGGAAATATTATCTACCTTCTTAATAACAAACTGGTTTTAAATTATACTGCTTCAACTGATTTAATTACTGATTGCTGAATGATAGCTATGAAAATAATTATCAATAGTAAAAAGAAAATTGGAGAAATAGCATGAAAATCCATGTTTAAATAAGCATTTATATTT